CATTTGTTGGTAATAAATGACCGGGGTTTATAGCCCATGTCAGCAAACATCAACCCCTGGTGGCAAAACTCAGCACTTAACGCTTCACTACCTGCACTAAAGACATCGTTTCACCACAACAGAGTCTCCCTGAGAGCCACATCAAAAAATATAACGAACCGCTGTTTTCAGCATATACTGTACCATGTGGGAAGTAAACGCCTACTGGTTTTGGGCGTCATTCTGTGTATGTGTTTATATGTTCACAGTGGAATGTATTTCACGTATGTAAAGAACTCTGTGCCTATAATGGGTGCGGCTTCAAATATGTCATCATTACAGGGATAAAGTGTGTGTATAGATCGGTCATATATTTCCTAATAAAGGGGCACATGCTTTTTAATAAGTAAGTTCCTAAATGTATTACATCCTTTCTATAATAGATCTATAAATATATATTTAGAAACAAACACCAGTGTTGGGGCTGGCATTTGGTGCGGCTCATAGAATGCATTTTAAAACCTAACAATGATTTGCTCCAACATGGTGCATCTTTATATCCGTTAAATACTGTACTGTCATTAGTCAGATTTCAGAGCCACACAACAAAATACAGTACAAGCACTTACATTTTTCAACACTACCAAATGGTTCTTTTTTTACATGCTTATAGATGCTATGCCTTTAACTTTTGTCAAGCTGTAACCAAAGTATTTTAAAGAAACCTCACAATTCATCCTTATGGACACGGGTGTTCTGGGAAAACATGTCCAGTAGGAATGAAGGGAGCTGGAAAAACCTCCTAAAGGCCTCCTGTGTTTGACCTAGTTAGACTGACAGCTTACTCACACCTCCACGTGAAAAAAACTTTATGGACCTGAATGCTTAACCACACCAATCGGTGTAAGTAACTACAGGCTGTCCAAATAACCAGGGCTAAGACAGGGTGAGTCCAGAGGTCTGTTAAAGACGACACACTTCAGTGTTTGTTTGTTTTGCTTTGTTTCCTTTAACTGTTTCAGGTTAAGTGTACGATCTGACTGTAATCTATACGACAATCTATTCAGATTTTGTGCTGGAGGACAAATGTAACTCAATAATAAAAACACTCTTGTACAGACACTGTGTATAATCTCAACTATGGTTAAAGCTCGGAGCTCACGATACTTTAGTAAGATTGACACCACTTACTGGTAGAATGACCTGAAGCCTATTAAAAGGCATTGGAGTTTACAACCAAGGTTTTACAACCTAACGACTTTTGCCTGTGATTTAATATAGTACTTTAAAAAAATGACTAAATGAAATTAAAATTATAATTGACTAAATACTTAGTGTTTTATAACAACACTAGGTAAATATAATTTATATGACATTGATTTTAAAATGGAATATTGGATAATAATTCACGTGTTTAATTCTGCGGCTGCAGCGCTATTATCATGAATATGCATGTTAACATGAACTGCAGTAAATTGAATAGCCTTCCGTTAAATAGTCACGAGTAAATTAGAAGTATAATTGAAGTCAGTGAAGACAGTGTTGAGTCATCGATGTATTTTGTTCGGTAGAATAATGACATAATGTATTCCGGCTAATTAGCCCGTCGAAATAGAGTAAAAAATTAACAACAATTATTACCAGTGACACATATGTCGAAAAGTACTTTTTCAAAATGCAACAAGAAATGTTATTTGTGAACACATTTACGTATAAAACAGGGAATAGTGTTAAACAAGTGAGTACATATAATTATATATATGAGCGTCTTTTTTTCCTCTACATTATTTCTTTATATAAAAAATAAATACTCCATGTAACGACCCAAAGATTTCAGCAGATTGTGATTAGCTCTGATTAGATCGTATAGTGGTAGAACAGATGCTAATTAAACCTAACAGCGCTTTTCCCCATTTTATTTTATTTTATTTTATTTATTTTCTTGGATCTAAAAAGATAAAAGAGAGTAAGTGAACAGATCAGATAGGATAATGAAGGTCACACCTCAGGCTTTTGTTGTAGCCTCTCAGACGTGACCGTCACAGTGTCAAGGCTTAACGCTGATTTAAAAGCCGGTTACGGGCTGCATTTGTGAGGGACCACAGACCGCCAGACGTCATGCCTCCACACAGCCGCTCCCCAACTCTTTAACCACACTCCCTTCTTATTGACTTTTCCAACCCTCTGACCCTCTCTGATCCCAACTAACACCACCCCCTCCCACACTTACCCTCTCACCCCTGTAGGCTCTGAATTAGCTCTCTTGACACTTAGGTCTACAGGACAAACGTCTCTATCTTATCTTGATATATACAGTAGGTATATATATATATGACATATTACATGTATATAAATATACATTCCACCACTGAATCTCCTCCTCGTCTGACCTTTCCTTCCCTCAGTAACTGCTCTAGTTCGACTTGAGTCAGATAAAATGTAAGGCTCTGTGGACACAACAACGCAAAGATTTAGAGCCTATGGTGTAGTTTACAACGTTTCAATGACTTCTTTGCTGATCCACAACTCTAGCAGTGCTGTAATTGATTTTTTTTTCCTGCAGTGGGGGTGGTCCCAAATGGGTCTCAAACTCCCAACCTTTATATTTTTGCCCAGCTCTACTTGTCTCAGTTTGTGTGCAGTAAAGATAATTAGCGTGGTGAATAACTGGCTGTCAGTGTTTTCTAATCTCCTTGTGATACCGGAGGAAAATCATTTTATCAAGCCTAAAATCATGCTCCATCTTAGGGGCCAATGATGATGTGATCAATTTCACCCATGGCTTCTGGCGAAACTTGAAGATGTTTGACCTCTAGTTCACCAATGAATTATTATCAACTGATGACCATCTATTCTATGAAAACTGTGCTGTTTTTACATTAGAGAGATTTTTCTTTTTTTTTTTCTTTTACTTCTCCTTAGGGAAAAATGCCTCTGAACACTGAGTTATGGCCATATTTCTAAACGTCTGGGTAAAATTAAACCAACCGCCGTGTATATCATTCAGGATAACGTGCCCAAGTGGTCTTCTTGCCTGGAAGTGTGCATCTGATGAGCAAAATCCTTCTTGAAACTGTCAGGCCTTAAATGTGTGGTGACCTTTACGCCTTATGAGCTTCTCCCTACAGCACGTCCTCTTAAACTCCACGGTCACGCTGCCACGCTTCAGCTTAACCTCACCATAGCCTATGAAAGAATGACTCATTATGGCCTAAACATCCCAGTCCCCATTACCTCACATAACTTTTGTCATTTCTCTGCTTTGTGATTTGTTACAGCAAAGCTAAAGCCCCGTGGTGAGGATGTATGTGTTTTATTTCTTACTACTGTTTCAGTGCACTAGCCCTTAGCATGTTCGCAGTGTTTGAGCCGGGAATGCTACCATATAGCCAATAGCAGTGTGATAGTTATATATACTAATATGTAGCGTTTGCAGCATCATGTAGCGTTTATTCAGAGAATAATTATGTACAGGTCAGTCTTTACCGATGCCTGGCTAGGCTAACTCTGCTCCCATCTTTAGCATCACTGTTTTTCTACGTTTCTTCACCAGCAGATGGGATTCTTGTGTGCTTTATTTTTGTAACTAATGGATTTATCTTTCACAGACAAATCTAGAGGATTTGTCTTTTAACAGAAAAGAAAGAAAAACAGAAACAAAACTGGACCAAATACCTCCTGTGACCCTCAGAACCTGACCGAGGGGATTGATTTTGAAGTATTATATGTGTTATTTTGGTTTCCTGGTTCTACAGCTTAAGTTCCATGAATCATTCAACCATCCATCTGTGGATACCAGCCATAGACGCCTACTCAGCTGTAACACCCTCACTTGGCCAGATGATCCATGACCCCATGGAGAGCTGGGGTCTCTACTCATTAACAGTAGAATCGGACTTTTTGTTTCAATAGAGTATTAGATTATCCACATTTATATACAATTTTGAAGATGTTCAAACAAAGTGTTCTTACATTCTGGTGCAGTATTTTGCAGTAATTCAGAGGGTTTTGGTCTGTTAAGGATCCTGAACATTTTCATGGCTTAGTTTATTACATAAAATCAGAAAAGAAACATTGGCAACCATATGGTTGGCACTACTGTCTCAGCTATCTGGATGTTTACTGTTACTTACTTACTTAAAAAAACAAGTACATTTTGTATAAATATTTTCCCACCACATACAACCAACCATTCACGATTGCCACTAAGTTTGACGTCTGCAGTGGACAACTTGTCCCTGTTTTTAACCAACACTTTATGAGCCAAGGGCCTGAACCTGCTCAGAGCCCAGAGGTCATGAAGGACATAATTAAGCTCTTGGTTTTTCTAAGATTAGCTCCTTAGCCAGCTCCCTGCATCAGTGTTTCTCTATCTGTTTTCACTTTCTGAAGTGACAATGACACAGAGGAGGAGGGATGGTGATCGTTATTTTCCAAATCTTTTGTGTTTCCATTACAGTACAGTAGATACAGTAAGACGCTGATGAGACTCAATGCAAACTACCTCGTTTGTCACAGATTCAGCAGAATCTGGCTTTTAGCAGAGGATATGTAATATTTTTCTAATGTGTTTCAAGGGTAAACTTTTATTTTTTCTGTGCCATTGACGACTATTGACTATTTCTACAGCAAGCTATCACTTAAAATATATATTTAGTAACATTTCTGATGCACAATTGAAAATATCCATGGATATCTTTTACCTTCATCTAAGACTAACCTTTAAGAGCAAAAGTTAAATGAAATTTTGTTCAGAAATTTTAACATTTTCTGGCTACAAGAGCATTCAAATCAAATTCAATTTTTTTGAAAAACAACCTGGATGTCGTGGATAAGAAATTATTTTGTAAATCCAGTGGAATTATATATAACTTGATAACGTTTTAGATGTCACAGTAGAGGTGTTATAATATCTTATTCTTATCTTATTAAAAAATACAAACGCAACCACTGTCTATTTTCGTCAGTTGAGAGATGAATGTATGTTAAGTGAAGAAAGTGTGTTTGAATCTACGGATGAGAGACTCTAGTTATATATTAATCTTAAAAAAGTTTTTTGTTGCTTTTTTTAAATATGTAACTGCAGCTGGTTTGTCTCAGAGTTGTTTACTTTCTACATTCATGACTCAGCAAATACCACCACTTGACCTAGTTAGCGCTAAACAATTGAGTAGAAAACGTTGGGAATAGTTTTGTGCATCACAGGTTTAAAACTCTCAGTGGGAAAAGCCTAGAGCTCACAGTAACAGCAGTAAGTTATTTATAAAAGTAACTTGTGACAGCAGGTGTGAAAGTCAAAAAGTCAACCGTTTATTTACTGATTCTCTGACTGACAGATTCACTCATTCGGTAACTGAGCTGCATCCCTTCAAAACTCTCCTGCTTTTTCCATCCCGCTCCTTCTATTCATCAGTTCACTGCATGAAGACTCCTTGATATTGCATTACCTCTTTATTCCTCTCTTCTCTCCAGTCCCTGCCTCAGCCCCAGTGAGGAATATTGTAACTAAGTGAGTGAGGAATTTGGCCTAATGTTTTTTGCAGTCGCACACACACACTGCTACAAAGAGTCAAAGCAGTGTTGGATCTTTTTACAGACTGACACCGCCTGCAGAGACAGGGGTTACAGAGATGATACACTCAGGGTTATCAGATAACAAATCAGCAGAGACCGAATTAGAAGTAAATAAAGAGAATACAAACACAAATTTGACAATGTTTATGTGTGCCCTCTGCACTGTCAAACTGTGGGGCTAAATAGTCGCATGTGTTTAATTTTACAGTCCATTTTTCAGGCAGTTCCAGCTCTTCAGCAATGACCTTTCTCCACCACCATCTGGCGCTACCTGCCCCCCACCCACATCACTGTACTTAAGATAAACAGCTAAAAAGGTAGTTTTTTTATTTTAATTCACCAGATGCTTCGATTTGTTTTGAAATTAAAAGAAATCTTTGAACCAAATCTAAGACAATTTAACTATAATTCAAATATACTTCATATACATAGGGGCACATGTGGTTACAACGCATGCATTTATCCATAAAAACATACAGAGACCCTCTAAGGAGGAGGTCTGTGTGTGCTGTACTGCTGGTTACTGTGCTTACAGGAAACAACAGCTGACAAGCATCAGACTATTTTTGTTCTCCCCTTATTTGAGTCTAAGGAGGTGTGTGTCATTATAGGGTGCCAGAGAATCTTAAGGAGAAGACAATCCCTTTTTCAGTTGTCCTGACCCACATTCCAGGAACAACAGTCTGGAACTATACAGGACGAACCTACTGATACACAAACCAGCATCAGTACTGAGTCCAGTATTTACTCAGTCTGGTTTCTGCTGTCCAACTGTTTACTCAACTGTGTGCAGAAAAAGGAGATAGTGGGAGTGGTTGATGCCACGATTCTGTCCAAAAACACAAGCTCTGTTGGTCTGTAGTCTGAACCCTGAATAAAAGAAATTAGAAAAATCCTTAAAAAAGACGTTCAATAACTCAGCATGAAAGTTTTTTTATACATAAAAAACTAAATTTAAATCCCTGAGAACTGTGTACCTAAGATATTCTTTTCATTTCCACATACAAAGTTAACACATACCAGGTTTTTACTGATTGTGACATCATCAAAGTTGTAGAATACATGCTTCTATTACCTACGTGACTTTCATTCAAATGATGCAACGTTTAGCAATGATCAATATTTCACCATAGCATATAGGTGACATTTTGTGGCCCGTGTTTTCAATTGAAATGTGGTATTTTTCTAAAAGCTCTATGTATAATGTCTAATTTCATCTTTTTTTATTTTTATCCTTGGTTTTATTGATATATTTCTAGTGTGAAGACAGCATTGCTTTGAATATTTGTTTGTCAATTTTGTTCCATTACAGAAAGATTTGTTTCCTTCCGTTAATAAGATAAATTAAACTGACTGTTGGCATTTTCTGCATGGTGTCATCACTCTGGTTTAACCACACACTGCACTTCACCCAAAAAATAAAAAATAAAACATTTTGGGAAATTTCTGTACTCCCCGATCAACACACACTCCCACGGTGTATTCCAATGCCACAATTGACTGAAATGCATCATGAATGTTAACCGACAAATGATTCTATGACCTACAGCTGCAGCCTGGAGCTAACTGACTTTACTTGTTACGTCTGTGCTGCCAAAAAGCCCCTCCTCGGACAGACCTCGGAGCCTGTAGCGTCACTTGAAGTTCACGTCAGTGCAGTCCTCCTTACCAAAGTCACACACGCGCGCGCACACATCCACTGAAATATCAACCACACACACCCGTGCACGTGCACGCGCTCGCGCCGACACAGTCCTCGCCTGCTGCGCTCTGCGCCGCTCTCCATTCCAGGACGCTCAGAAGGAGACCCGTGGGATGTTACCAAGAACTTTTTTTTCCCCAGTTTAAATCTTCTTGTGTTAACTTTTCTATCGCTCTTACATCTCCTGACAACTCTTTTCCCGTGGATTCCCCGCTCAGTGCAACGCTGTCGGATCTAATGAGAGAAGAAACGCTTTAATTGCATATCAAATTTCCGAAACGCGCCGTTGGATTAAAATCTGAATTTGAAGGAGGCAAAAATGAACACTTGTGTGAAATAAGATTATTATCTGGACAAAAGGATTTTAAGGTGAGTTCCTTAATTGGCATGCTTTGGTGAATGTGCAATAATCTGAGTAATTTACTTTCGCTTCAGCTTCTAGATGGGAATTCATTTAAGTGTAGCTGCAAGTGTGTGTGTGTGAGAGAGAAAGACTCAGACTTACTTTTTAAATGTTTTACCCTTGTGTTTCCGGGGTTTTATTTTACCACCCCATTCCGTTTTTACTTTCTTTTGATTCTAATTGTGATCGACTGTGTTTATTCTCCACTTTACCCCCGGGTGTGTGATGTTTGGACCCCAAATGTGTGTTTTCAGTTTTTTGTTTTTTCTGAGACAGGTGCAGTTTGTCTCTGTAGCTCTGATGTGGGTATAAAGAGTAAAGATTGAAGGTGTCATATGGTAAAAGTTCCCTCAAGTCAACTTTGTGGCTTTGTGCTACATAAATAAAGTCCACTTAGGATCTCTCTGTGTGTGTGTGTGTGTGTGTGTGTGTGTGTGTGAGAGGGAGTGAGGAGAACAGAGATTCCCATCTGGATTTTAGAAGCCATCCCTGTAGTGCACTTTGCTGTTCTCCATTACTCTTCATTTCCTTCTCCTCTCTGGCAGAGATCATCTCAGTGTACGTCCTCCTCTGGTGGACTGAAGATGTATGGGTCTGTACGTGTGACTGTGCCACAGGTGGCGCTGCTGCTGCTGCTGCTGCTGACAACTGTTGTTCCTGGCAGCCATTCCTGCCCCAGAAGTTGTAACTGCTACCAGGCCAGCGAAGTGCACTGCACTTTTCGCTCTCTCCTCACTGTACCACCTGGTCTGCCTTCACACACACGCCGCATTAACTTAGGGTAGGAAAAACACACCCACACATGCTTGCGAGCAGGAACGCATGCACTGTTACAAAATGGTTTTCGAGTTTAGGTGCTATACTGAAAAAAAAAAAAAAAACTCCCACAAATCTGTGACCTATACGTTTTGAGTCAAATATCCAGACTTGACAACACTATAAAAGCTCATCCCCCATCATTCACCTCTGCCTCTGACTTTTAAGAGCAGCTGACGTCATTTGAGTGGCCTCACTGACACCTACTGGGGTTTTCCCCCCGGTCAATATTTCTGATGAAAAAACATTCTGGCGAATTTAAGGAGAAAAGGCAGAACCAGAGAGACGGTTATGAAGAAGTACAAAAACACACTGGTTGTAAACAGCAGCTGCTGGACAAAAACAATCATTCAACAATCATTAGTTGTTTTTAACAATGCATTGAGCTGCATGGAAGATAAACTATGGATTAATCACAATTAATCATGATAAATCATTATCAATAACCATTTCTATTTATGTAAAACATTCATTTTGCTTGAACAAAAACACAAATAGCATCAGATAGAATATATGTGTTATTATATTATATTTATGAGAAAAATGTAAAAAAAAAAAAACTTTAATCTTGGTGGATTTAGTCATTACTGTGCCTCTGGACAGGGTCTTGTCGAACGCCTCAGTATGCAGTTATACAGTCCTAGCAATATCTACTGTACAGCAGTGATCGGGAGTATCACTGTAGTACTATTCAGTGATTTAATACTTGGTGAATCTACCTCCTGGATGGACCAATGATTTGGATTCTTTTTAGTTGCCATGACTCTACTGTAGCCATCTGGTAAACATGTGTAGACTGCACAAATAACATCATGCGAAGGCATGATTCAATGGCATTTAACTGCTGTACTGTAAGTACTGTATGACCCACATTTGGGCCATGGATATTTCTATATTTAATCCCGTTTGCGCCTCTGTAGGTTCAACAGCATCAACACGATTCATGGCACTTCCCTGGCTGGGCTAACGGAAGCGGAACTGCTCATGCTCCACAGCAACTCTCTTCAGCATCTCCCAGATGCAGTTTTCAAAGATATGAAATCACTGCAGGTAAATGTCAAAAGCAGATATAACGTTGTGAATAGAAATGCAAATGTGGAGGATTTTGTTGCCACCGCATTCAGTGGAGGACTTACTTTTTGTTGTTGTAGCGATAAGAGGTATCTATTGCTGCTCCCTAGTTTACATTTCAAACAGCTCACAGCAGTCAGCATTAAAACTATCTCAGAGTTTGTTTTGCCAAACCAAACCAAATGGTGCTGGTTCAGTGAAATAAATAAATGTTAATAGGCATTGTAGGAAGTTGACCTGATTTTTTCCCCTACATTTTTAAGCCTAGACTTTATGTACAAAACCTCCTGACTGAGGTAGGCAGACTGTGTTTCTGCAGGGCAGCCTGGCACTAAATCTTTCTTCGTATGCCATAATTGTACTTTCTAGTCTGCGTGGTTTCCTAACGATGACGGATGATGCTCCTAAAATGAACAGAACAGAAGGTTTTGGTTTTCACATCGTACATAATGTGGTTGTTATCAAAATGTACAGTTATTTTGAAGGGGCTGATAAAAAGGTAAAGAGGATGCGTCGTTGACAAATGTGCCAATTCTGTGGTCACTTTGGTTGACAAGAAAATTCATAAAAAAATCCATTTCTGTTTTTAAACCTGATACTTGGACCAATATGGGAGCTAATAAAAACACTCTACAAGCTCCAGTCCCCATCTTCGGCACATATTTTCTCATTTCTGCGGAGCTAATGCATGATTAATGTGCCATCAGTCTTTTCACCACTTGGTGACAAGGAGACACACCGGCTGCTTTAGCAGCAACCTGAGGGCAGGGTAAGCAGTGTGTCGGAAAGTGAAATTACTCAACAAGCCATTGTTCCCCTCACCTCCCAGGCTCATGCTGATATATACGCCATTGTGCGATAATAAGATCCATATTTCCATGTGTTGACATAGTCATGTGCTATATCTGTCTCTTCCAGTTAAGTAGCCTCTCCGGGGAGCAGATTTATCATAAGCCTCGTGGAATTACAATCCCACAGCCTGATTTTATAGTTTCTTTCATCCTCAAATTTTGTGGACTCTCCTGGACACAGCCAGCGGACCAACGATCCTCTGGACTCTTGCTGAGGATAAAGAGCTAAAATTCTAGTCTATTCTAATTTGACCTGATATCCTGTGCTTTCACCTGGTACATGCACACTGTACATCATCTCCCAGTGTACTCAGGGTGGCTGTTTATATTTGACAGCCACACACATCAAGGTACTCAGAATGAACTCAGGATGTATTCAGTGGTGACATGTACAGTGGTGTGGTTCAGCAACCATCGTTAGCTTAAACCTGGTTAGACTAATGGTTGGAGTTTTGTAATATTAACACTGAAGCAAATGCCAAATTTCAAGTGAACTTTAAATGAAACCTGTTAAAATGAATGGAGCTTTAGAAAAACTAAAACTAAAAAGACAATTTAAGAACTTTTTTTTTTATTCAGATGAGGCTAAGATGCAGTTTTCCCTCTAAATCATTAGACAGAAACTCTAAAAAAGTAAAAAAAAAGAGTGACTTTAAAATAAAAGGTTCCTAAACCCTTTACTAAAGCATGGTAGAGGCTCTGTAATGGTCCAGGGCTGTATTTATTCAGTGGTGCTGAGAAACCCTTATCCAGCCTTGTCTGACATAGTACGTCATACTGATTTATTAATACAGTTCTTCAAATCACATGAATAAAAGAGAAATATGACATTATTGAGGTGGACTGTTCATTTGGAACAGTTGACACTGATGTCATATTTTTGGGTTTTAACAGAAATACAGAGGAAGCACAAAACATATGCTCGCCACTGAAGTTTTTTTCTTTTTTTCTTACAAACAGATTCTTTATCCCCGTTCCAATGCTTCTCATATCATTTGTCATTAATTCACTTTACAAGCATGTGGTGTCCAGGGACAGATATCTCTGCCTCTCTCTCTGTCAGCCTTGATGTGTATTTTCCTATTTCTTGTCTAATCCTCCATTTCTTCCGCTCACTTCATTTCCTTCACTCACACAGATACTGAAGCTGAGTTATAACAAGCTGAGAGAAATCTCTTCATCTCTGACCTTCTCCGGCCTGACCTCACTGCTGCGACTGTACTTGGATCACAACCTTCTCGAGTATATCCATCCCCGAGCTCTACTCCAGCTGCCTGGCCTCAGGCTGCTACGTCTGCAAGGAAACAGACTCCATCAGTTGCACCCGCACACACTGTGCACACTGTCTCTGCTGAATACTTATTACTTTTCTACTCTTAGGTGAGCTTTTTTTCATTAAGTTTGTATTATAATCGTGTGCAACTTCCTATAACTTCAGTAAAGAGAACAAAGACTGTTTACCTTGTTGTCTATAAAATGATCAACAACTGGAAGCCTGAAAGATTGGAATGAACTGATTTATTTCTCAAACAAAATCTCCAGAGCTGCAAAGCATCTACATCTGGAGTGACTCTCAAGCAAATATTATTGGACAATTTTTTATGTCTTGTCATTGTTTTCAAGACAATATCATCGCCTGTCCTCATGCTTACACTGAGGCGTAGCTTGAGATTAAAAAGGTGATGATGAAAATAATAAAAGTGATGAACGATGTTCCTCCGCCCTATCCTGTCAGCCCCTCCCACATCCTCTCCTCCCCCTCTTCAGCTCATTGTTTGCCTTGCTCTTTCATTTAGGCACTTAGACGTGTCCAACAACAGTCTGACCACACTGGCCAAAGACACTCTGACAACAGCACCACTGCTGGAGACTGTCATGTTGCAGGCAAATCCATGGAGCTGTGACTGCAGGATGAACTGGCTTTCTGCTTGGAGTCTGGCTCACCCAGGTGACTTTTAACTAACGTGTTACGTCTCCTATTGTCTCTCACATTCAAGGGCACCATCCTAATTTAAAAACGATCAAAAACAAATGTTTTGTAAAGCAATGAATGCATACAAGTGTGCGTCAGGGTTACAAAAAGGACAAAGGTAAAAACAATAGTTCATTCACTTTCACTAATTCACAATAGGTTTGGAAACAGATGTTAATCGTTTTATAATAATAATTTGGATAACATTACTGAAATGTCTCTTTTCTGTTTTATTCGACTTTTGAATCTTTTCCCATATGTGTTTTGCGGCTGTCATTGAGTTGTACTAAGAGAGAAGACAGCCCTGTGAAATGGCTCATTCATATGCCAGACTTAACCTGCCATGACTAATTCACGGCGACAGCACTGATCTGTGCAGGCAGCAGAAACATAGGCCAGTGACTGCCATAATATAATGAAGTGTTGCATATTTACAATTTATGAGAAGATGGGACAACTATACCTAATTAGTCTGCGATAATAGAGAACGGAAATAAATGTTGAAAAACAGCAGAGCAATACGACACAGCTGATATCTGGAAAGAGCTCAATTTTGCAATTATTTTTTTGTAAAAGCGTTGAGATTCTCTATACAGTTAATATACCAGAGATGGTAATGCATTCACCTAATGATGTAATTTTCTCTCTCTCTTTCTCTCAATTAGGTTTAATGAAATGTCCTGGGGGTCCTCAGTGCCCAACGTGTGCATCACCAAATTCTCTTCAAGGGCAGGGCCTGCTCGATCAGATTGACCTGAAATGCACATCATCTTTCATTTCTGTGCCGGGAAGACACCCTCCACTGGAAACAGAGCCTAGTGAAATCCAAACACGAGACACTCTCAGAGAACCTTTAGGCAGTGCCTTCCTGGGTCTGTCTGACCAACAAGGCAACAGTGTTGATCTGAGTTGTAACATCACCTTGTTTTCTGACTCTCAGGATATTTCTAATTCTCCAGATCTTTCTCTTACCTCCTCTTCTCCTATCCCTCTGGCCCTGTCACTCTCCCTGGAATGCCCTACTGACAGAGAGAGCTATGAAATACTTTGGAGGATCCTTGCGTACTACAGTGAGACTGCAGTTCGCCTTGAGAGAGAAATCATGCTGGGTAAGGAGCCAGAGTTGGCATTTCGCTACAGACAGGTAGCAGAGGCAGACGGTTATTACCACACTGGAGTCAAAGCAGCTGTTAAAGTCAAACCGCAGTGGTTACTACAGCCAGCTGTTAGCATTCAGCTGAACAGAGCTCAGTCAAATGGGAACAAAGTTCACCTTATATACTCGACAAGAGTTTCTGCTCATCCAGATCCTTTATCTTATCCATCAACATCCTCCCCTGCTCCTCATCCATGGGTTTTGATTTCGGCTAATCGTACCACTGCTGCTTTCGCAGCCATATCAGGCAGTAAAGTGGAAATCTCCTGTCCGCTTCTAAGTTCTGGACACCCCAAGGTACAATGGATTCTTCCTGATGGATCTAAACTCAACTCTCCTTTCCGCATTCAGGATGGTAGGATCCAAGCCTCAGCTACTGGTTTGCTGCTACGAAACGTGAAGCTCTCAGATTCTGGACTTTATTACTGCGTAGCCTACGCCGGCAAAGACGTAGATGTTCTACCCCTGCGTCTGGCAGTGGAGGAGTCCTCTGTTCCACCATCAGGAGAGCAAGTGGCACCGCCTGTCACTGGAACAGTTGGAGAACCTGTCACTCTATCATGTAATGCAATGGGTTCACCAACTCCTGATCTGACATGGATTATGCCTGATGGAAATATGCTACGTTCTGAATTAGTTGTACCTAAAGGACTCACTATACAACCTAATGGAAGCCTCTCTTTACCTAACCCTTCTGTGAAGGATGCTGGTCATTACCGCTGCATTGCAGTCAACTCCTATGGTAGTGACGCTCTCTCCACAATGCTTGTATTTAAATCAAAACCCCTTCCTACACTGAGGACTTCATTTCCCAGAGGTCCACAGTCAGCTGCTGGCAGGTCGACCCGGATACGAGCTCCTTTACTTAATCAGATATTGGAAGGATCTGGTGATGAAGTGGAAGAAGACAGATCTTATGTTGCCAATAGGAACCTTCCCAGAAACAATCAACGTCCCCCACACACACGTTATCCAAATGGAAGTCTTCGCCGACGAGGGCCTGTGAGAGATGGCTCATTGAGAAGAAAAGGAAGTGAAATATCCTCCACAGATCTCAGAAGAAATCGCTTTGACACTAGGCATAGAATGGCTACAAACAAACAAAGAATAGACCCCCAGAAATGGGCTGACATATTGGCTAAAATACGTCTTAAGACTGCAAACAATGCTAATAGCCAACCCATTACAACAGCACAACCGACAACAGCACCTGTAGTAGACAGAGAAACAACCAGAGACGAGGGAGTGAAAATACTGGACAGAAGTACAGCTGAGGTAACAGTAGTAGATGATGACATTGAAGGGTCTTCTGTTGATGATTCTGTTCTACAAGAAGAAGGCCTACAGCCCATCTACCCTGTTCTCACTGAAAAAAGAACGGACACAGTGATAGAAAGACAAAAAGAGACATCAACACTAACACAGACAACGACGGAGACACAGACACTGAGCCCAGGTCTGTACACAGAGGCCAACACAAAGACAGAGAGTAATGACATTATTCAAAAAACTGCCGAAAGATTCAATCCAGGAGTTAATCCAAAACCACATAGGACAAGGCCTCAGTACCCATGGCAGAGACCTTTACCAAATCTGGCTACAGGCACTCACCCTCAAAAACCGTGGAACACTCGCAGAAGGATTGGACAGCAAAGACGAATCACCAACAGGACAAGGGGGCAACCTTTGACTCCACCCAAACCTCACCCTGACCCTACAAAACAGAACTCACAAACAGCAACACCTGACACTTCCACAGATCAAAGTCATACGTTGTCTGCACCAACAACAACTCGGCCTACGTTGTTGACAAAGAATGATCCTATTAGGACTGGTTCAAGTCACAGTGTGAATCCTCTGTCTCCTCATATTTCTTATTCTCCTAGTATCTCAGACTCGGGATCTGTCTACCTCTCATTACCTTCCTCTGCCGCCCCCGTTACCTCATTATCCCCTTCGTACATTAACCCACAAACAGACACAGTGACTCACTCCGCTGATATCCTGAAAACTGCAGAGTCCACATTCTTCAACGCAGTAACACCAGCGACGACTCACTCGAATGTTGTGATCTCACAGATGCATGTGCCAGACACACATGGGACACAGACTCACACAAACCCACACACAGTCCTGGGAAAACACATTGATGAGCCTTTCAGTAAAGACGGGGAGAGGAATTTGTTGGATGTGTCGCATGAATCATATTCCAACAGCCTCTCTTCCTCTCGCCTCTCTGTCATTTCCTCCACTGCCTCCAGTCCAACTACTGCAGAAACCACAACTCTTCAAACTACCCTCAAGAGTTCTCTTTTAACTAGTTCTGTGATAACAACTACAAGTGCAACAACAAGTACAACTGTTGAGGATACACCAACCACAACAGCTTCGCCTGTCACAACCAAACAAATCATGTCTAGTACTGCAAGAACCATGTACGCCCCTCTGTCTATGACTATGCAGAGTACTGCAGCTCTTCCTAACTTCACAACTACCTTAACGCCCATTGTTATTCAAACTACTACTAGTCCAAGTACTATTAGTCCAACTACTACAACTAGTCCTACTACTACTCCTACTAGTCCTACTCCTACTTCAACTACTCCTACTACTACAACTAGTCCTACTACTTCTACTACTACTACTAGTTTTACTTCAACTAGACCTTCCACTATGACTTCTACTACAGGTAGAAGTATTAAAACCTTGGACAAATTTATTCTCACAACAAGAAATTACAGCACTACAACTAGTACTGCTACAACAACCACCACCGAGGCCACTACCAGAGCACCTGCCATTACGCCGTTAACTTCTACGACAACAACGTCAACAAGTACCAGACTGGTAACATTCAGAGAGAGGCCAAGTGCCGGCCGGTTTAATACCCAAGGCAGACCTGTCCCTGGGGCTTCAAGCCAGAGTCAGTCACCACCTGACTGGAGGAATCCTGGAGCTAATTCAATCCCTGATTCACACAGCAGCAGACCACACTGGTCGCCGTCTCTCCCTGCTGTCCCTGGGGTGAGTCTAAATCTCCTAAAAGTACACAATATTGACACTACTCTGATGGATGACAAAAAACAACTTAGTATAACCACAATTTATCATCTTTCAGTTTTGCCAGGTCTCTGTTCCTTGCTTTTATTCATTCATTCACTTAGTGATTTCTTAAAGTGCACATTTCAAGACAGTTAGCAGCAAATGCAAACAGGACTATTATTCTTTATTAGTCAATGATGTGGAACATCATCTGACATTTTCTTTAAAAACGAGAGCCAGTCCTGAAAATCACAACATTCACTCAGTTACATATGCACAGCATCTTTGACTCAGCAAGACCTGAAGCTAAAGCTTAGCAAAAAAAAAAAAAAAAACAACAAAAAAAAAACACCCCACATCAGCTCTCAAAATAGCCTAATCTTTATCCATATGACCTGCTGTTAAACCTGGTGGATGTTCAAATACATCAGTGGATGCATTTTTACAGCCATTCTTCTGATTTCTGAGAGCTCTGCCAGATTCTCCATCAGTTTAGATATGAAAAACACATGCTGGGTAATTAACCACATCTGTGGATTTTGAATGTAATCCCAAGTGAATTAAAATAATCAATTGGTAATTCATTACTTAGACTGTATTGGCAAGCAGATACAGATCAAAACATTGGGCTCTTGCCAATGATTTATGTATAATCTGGGATCATAATAATCTCTGATGTGTAATCGTTTGTAACAGCATACATATATAAGCCGGATTGCTGATTTTGTTCTTTCCTTTGACGTTATAATCTGTTTTTTTTTTAAATATTTTTGACAGCCCTCAGTTTCACGATCGAGACCTAGAATTGCCGACCCACACATCAGGGTAGTGTCATTCCCAGCAGACAGCACTGCCAGGCTGACATGTGAAGCTGAGGGGGAGCCAAAACCTTCCATCACATGGACCAAGGTTGCCACTGGTACGCACAGAGCCAAACACACAACATGGTACACCAAAGTCATATTTAAAACAATCAGGACTCAGGATTTACATTTTATTGAAGCTGATATTTTTTCTGCGTTTATCATAGGAGATAATACGTTGAATTTAGTGCAGTGAAAACAGATTTTACTGCTGGAACACCATTAACACCCATCATTATGCACTGGCATGCACACAACAGACTTCTCTTGAGCTCACCATGTGGGGAAAAATATATTTTAAGAAAATAATGGAACATTCTGTGCACTGCATCACTGGTTTTACTTCATGCTGTGCCATTCGGTGTGTCTCTGTTTCTCATTTCCTCACTGCCATTTATTCACTTTCTAACTTTCACAATTCGTCTCTGTTTTTCTGACTGCTGTCTGTTATTCCCACACCCAGGAGCAGTGATGTCAATCCACTCCAAGGCTCAGCGTTTTGAGGTCTTGCCAAATGGCACACTTGTTATCCAGAATGTTCAGCTGCAGGACAGGGGCACATACATATGCAGTGCACAGAGTTTTCTGGGCCGTGACAGGTGAGTTTCTATTCTAAGCACATTGAACCTTATTTAAAAAACAACCTTGAAATAGTTTAATTAATAGATCCTGAAATTTAAAAAAAATTATATATATATGATAAGACATGACTGTAAGATGAAACAGTTTTGTCTTCAGAGCTTTGTTAATCGCTGCCACACAACTTATTTCACAATTTATTTAGACCTTGGCTTTAGACCTTAAAAATGAACTATTTTGTCATTGGAACAGACTTTAAGTTGAACTTTATAGAAGTTACAACATTTTTTGTTAAATAAATGTAATAGTGAAGTACGACTTACATATTTTATAGTATTTATTACACTGTAACAAAAACAAAACATAGACCAGATCTGATTTACTACCTTTAAAAGGTGACTGCTTATTAGTGTTTGCAAAATAGAATGTTTGTGAATCCTGCTCCCAAATTGTGGATTTCTGTTGGGCATTAATTACAGAGGGGTACTTATGTCTTGGCCAAGGAGGATAAATATAAAATGATTAACAGTTCATGACTGTTTATTATGACAGGTTGTTAACTACTCTGGAAGTGAGGACCCGCCCTCCACGCATGCAGCTGGCAAGTTACAGAGAAGCCACTATTCATCAGGGTGGAGAGGTGCTATTGGAATGCCAGGCAGACGGTGTTCCCGCCCCTCTGCTGTCATGGGTTCTGCCTGATCGTACTGTGCTGACGTTCTCTGCCCCCTTGGCCAAGCACATCTCTATGGACACTAATGGAACGCTCCATATCTCAGGAACCTTGCCAAGAGACAGAGGAATGTATCGATGTGTGGCTTCAAATTCAGCAGGCGCTGCCAGCTCCTCTGTGCGGCTACATGTGTCCTCGTTACCCCCAGTGATACAACAGTCCAGAGTGGAACACCTGCTCCTGCCTCCAGGGAGGCCTCTTTATGCTCACTGCTCGGCCCGAGGGGCTCCACCACCGACCCTGCGATGGAGAATCCCAGATGGGACTCTCGTTCGCCCATCCCAGTTCCTCCATGGCAATCTGTTTGTCCTGCCTAACGGAACACTGCATATTAGTAGAGTTGAACCAAAAGACTCAGGTAGTTATGAGTGCACTGCCAGCAATGCTGTTGGTGCTGATAAGAGAACAGTGAGTGTTAAGATTCAGTTGGAGGCCGGGGGAGAGAGGAGCGGAGGAGTACAAAAAGAAATGAAAGAAACAGGTGGAAAAACATCAGCTCCACATTCACCAAGAGACAGGACTGTGTACAACCCTGTGGACCAGACAAATATATTCAACATCCCTAAAGTTTCTCCACCATTGTTTGCAGACAGATCTAGGACCCCGCAGATCTCCCCAGACTTTTCTGATCCTCCCTCAAACTCTCACACACCAAATTTCACTTATTCACCTGCTAAGAGCAATAAAACAGTGAATGTCTCCACCACACACTTGACAAACGTTGACAAAACAAATACTGCTAAACTCCAGTTGAGTAATGCACACAACCCCAAAGTCCCGCCTTCCTCCCCACACAACAAGAGCAGAGCCTCAGCTGTTCTGCATCCACTGCCTGTCTCACCGTTCACAAAAGCCCAAATCACGTCTACATCAGCCCCCATTACTTCTGTTCACTATGGAGGATTTTTGCAGCTCCACTGTTCTGTAACTGGTACCCCTGCACCCATCATCATTTGGAGGACACCAGTGAGGAAACTAGTGGATGTGAATTTCAGGTGGGTTCATGGTTCTCTGCCTAAATGCAACTGTTCTTCAGAAAAATGATCTCAATTTGAACTTAATATTTTCTTAGATCTACTAATATTTTTGTAACAATATATGTAATGGTTATTTGTCTGTACCAAAATTGATTCTTTATGGAGTTTTTTTATGTCTGACTTTAATTTCCAGTTTTGATAGCCGCTTGAAAGTGCATCCAAATGGCACACTGTCAGTCCGAGCAGTAACAGAGAAGGATGCTGGAGATTACCTCTGCATTGCACGCAACAAGGTTGCAGACGACTATCGCCTCCTGCGTGTCTCTGTGGCAACACAACCTCCCAAAATTGAACCAAAACATCCACTTAATCAAATGGTTTCATTTGGCAAACCACTGAAGGTCAGCTGATCCCTTATGTCCCCCTGTTCTCTAAAGAAGAATTCTTCAAATGAATACTTAACATTTTTTTCCATAATAACCAAAGTGATTTTGTTCTGTGTAGGTGGACTGTCAGGCTTCAGGACTACCTGACCCAGCTGTGCACTGGAGTTTACCAGATGGTACCATGGTTAACAGTGTGTTGCAGGGAGAGGACAGAGGAGGACGTACACGCAGACTTACAGTTTTTGACAATGGAACATTATTGGTTCCAGCAGTGGGTATGAGGGAAGAAGGTGAATATACGTGTTATGCAGAAAACCAAGGAGGTCAAGATACAATGAAGGTGAATATGAAGGACTATTACTGTTTGGAGATAGAGAGAATTTTGTAATCTAGTTGTTCTTTCTCTGTTGTGGAACATTGATTCCAAATTCTTCTTTTCCTCAAAAAAACAAAAACAAAACAAAAAACAACAAGGTATTTGTTTTAAGACTAAAAAAAAACAAAAAACAAAAAACAACAAGGTATTTCTTTTAAGACTAAAAAAAGAAGCTAAAAATCAAAATGTACTGTACAATTTGTGTGCATCTTTAAAGAAAAGCATAAAGCAAAAATATATTGATTATTAATTGAACCTTCTTTCAGGTCAAAGTGAAGGTCATGATGTCATCGCCACCAGTCTTCACAGATGAAAAAACCTACCAAACCATCAAAGTGCGTCAGGGGACCACTGCCAGTATACGCTGTCAGGCCAGGGGAGATCCCGCGCCTAGAGTGACATGGCTTTCCCCTGGCAATCGTGTCATCCCGCAAAGTCTTGGCTCTGGATTCTATTTTGAGAGAGTGGTAGTGGTCTCTGGTGGAACGCTGGAGATACGTCAGGCTCAGAAGATCGATACAGGAAACTACACCTGTCGAGCAAGTAACTCCGCTGGGGAGAGGAACATGGTGGTCAGTCTGGAGGTGGAGCCTTTTAATCATCTGATAAGTGGCCAAGTGGGAGGTAGAGCTACAAACATTAACCATGCGGGAAGGACACCATATGGATTTACCAGTGGAACCTTGAGCAATCTAGATGCAAGAAACAGCATCAGCACCGGCCACAGTAACATCAACGTTCAACCAAATGTTGGCATTAATGCAGCCTCCAGCGGCTCTAATCCTGCCCTAAGGAGTGATCATCGAAATGGATATAACAGACCTGTCAGTGGGATTACAACACCATTTGGAAGAAGTGTATCCGGTGGGGGGGCAAGTACTGTGGCAAGGAATGTAGATAATAAAGCAGACGATATCGGAAGTAGCAGTAGTTCTGGCATCGCCAGTGGTAATAGTGTGGTGACCAGCCGCAGCACAGCTACAGCAGATGGTGTAGAAAAGAATTCAGGAAGAAATTTTAATGACGTCCTTACCGGAAGGGCTGCTAATGTTGATAATGGCCAGACAAGTCCTGCTTCTAGAAGCAGCAGTGCTAATAATGGTGGACGTGAAGCTGGCGCATCCAGAGGAAGCTGGTACAGTCGCAGTAGCTATGCAGGAATTGCCAGTGATGACATCAGGAAAAGTGGTATACCAGCTGTTAGTCATAGTGGCCAGAAAAACTCTACTAGCACAGTTGTAGGTGTGGTGTCGAAAGGGAAGCAAAAAGTTGTGAGAGGGACAACTGTTCTCTTGCCCTGCCCCTCCCATGGCTCTCCTCCACCTCGTGTGACCTGGCTCCTGCCAGGAAATGGAGTGTTACCTTCTCCTCACTACGGTAGTCGGCAAACTGTGCACAGAAACGGCTCCTTAGAGGTGCGAGGAGTGCGGCCGACCGATGCTGGCACACTGGTGTGTGTGGTGAGTGGTGAGAGAGGAGAAACAAGAATCCATGTGGAGTTGGAGGTATCTGACTCACAAGAGGAGCCCAGATATGCTCACAGAGAACCAGTAGTGGAGAAACTAGTGCAGAAAACAGCTGGTCTACTTGAGACACGTCAGTCAGGAGGCTCATTGGATTCAACTCGTTCCTCAGATCCAGTGTTGTCAGATAAGCCACGTCCAAGGTTCCCAGTTACACAACACCCACCTCAAAGGGGTTTGACTTTACCTCCCGCAGCCCGACCTCTTGGCTTTCCACCACAGTCTGCTGGCGTTAGGTCAGAGGCAGCAGTGAGTACCAGAACAGGCTCCATAGTAACCATCATTAGTGGAGAAACACTTCGCCTACTGTGCCCTCCTCCTCAAAACCCAAGATACGACCAGAGCTCTCTTTTGTGGACCATGCCAAGTGGCAATGTACTGTCCCGGGGTGAGAGTGCTGACTCAGGTCGATACACAGTCCATGAGGACGGGACCCTCATTGTGCAACAAGCCACTACATTTGATCGGGGAACCTATTCTTGCAAATCCACCAGTTCCAACTCTTCCCTCGTTTCAGTTCTCACAGTTCCTGTCATCATCATTGCCTACCCACCACGTATTACAATAGGTCCTTCACCTGTAACCTACACACGGCCAGGGGTTGCTGTGGAGCTGCCCTGTCTGACCATCGCAACACCTAGAGCAACTGTGATCTGGGAGACACCAGACCTGGCGCAGCTGAGAACGATGGGCCAGGCTCGAATCTATGGAAACCGCTACTTAAGTCCTCAGGGTTCTTTGGTGATTCAGAACCCAACGAGTAGAGATACTGGCTTTTACAGATGCACTGCCAAAAATGTAATAGGAATAGACACCAAGGCAACTTATTTACATGTTATGTAATGAAATCTAGTAGCACACACACACACAGACAATAGGTAAGAAAGGGAGAGAGTAGAAATACTGACACTCTACCAGTCTTCTTTACTGGTAAATGAACTGAAAAGTCTCCATCATGCCCAATGGAACTGCAAGTCTCTGTTTATACTGTTGATTCTTAAAGTAGACACTACTAATACATAATTCATATGCCATTTATTTAAAGGTAAATGGCTTAATAACACTGTTCTGTTTCATGTCTGCAGTCACAATCCCCTCCACAGGTTGTACTTGTATGAATAGACATGACAATGGTGCTGCAAAACCTTAATATCTCTTTTATCTGGCTGTTACATAGACTGTGTGAGCAAAAGATGCACTGTAGGTCAGCTGTACATCTGTTGTTGAAAACTGAATGGAAGAACTCTGCTATGTTTTAGAAGCATCACTACATGAATGCTAGTCTGTGATAAGATATCTATTTCTTTCTTCATATCAAGTTATGACTCAGTTTGGAGGAAAATATATGACAAAGCAAAATTTGCATAAGAATTTGTTTGTTTTTTTAAATGCTGCAAATCTATAAATCTATAAATACAAGGACCATTCAGATAAATTGGATTAATTCAATTGGAACTGGTAGATACAGTAAATATCCCTCCAGTCTTCTCTGCAGAGGGCGCTGTGAGTGCAGATAGATTGTTAAATATGTTTTACGGCAGACATTTGTTCAATGAATATATTACTTCAACAATAAGTAGCTACAGGGTTTCCTTTTGTGTATTTACAGCAGCTAGGAAACTTAAATCAGCCCAAGCCCCCCCCACCTCCCCATAAGAGATAAAGCTGTTAGAAGCAGAGGGCGTCATCACTGCAGATGACGACACCAACATAATTCCTAAGGAATTTTAAATAGCTGAGGATAATGAAGCATCATCATATATTAAGATTTAAAAATATATATCTTAATTACAACCGCTAATACAGGTATTTTTATGAACACTTTAGAAAAAACTATTTTAATTCTTATGGACTTTTAAAATGAGTCTGACTGATCTTTAATGTCTGGTAATTCAAACTCTCCAGTATACATATATAAACCTGTGAGAATATTGTAACCATGGGCCACATCAGAGTTAGCTTCAGGACATCATTAACCACTGTATTCTTCTCGTACATATGTTAATAATAATAGTTCTGACCCCACTGACTGTACTTGGACTGTATTCTGGAGTAGATGCCAAGGGATCTACAAACACAGGAAAAGTGTAGTGATGTTGATAAGATCGACCAATTGGCCGAGTCGTCTCTCTGCCTGTTTTTATCAATAACAACTGTCATAATCTGCATGTTATTCAACAATCTGTGTTGTGTTTGTGCACAGAGCAAGTAGCTCTGTGCACGTCTGTTTCCATTTTGTACTTAAATTATTTTTCTTTTTGTTTTTGTAAGACACCAGTGTTTGGTCTTCGAGGAAGGGAAATTGGTAAATGTCATGATGTATGTTAGATACTTCACCAGCAAAGTGAGCGATTGCTATATTTTTAACTGCTCAATTTTATAAATAAAAATGAAAAAGAAGTGTTTTGGTCTATTAAAGTTAGCGGCGGACGCAGGGCTTTGTGTGTGAGTGTGTGTGCACGTGTGTGTTTGTGTGTATTAAGTGTAAGAAAGGAATAAAATGTAATGGAACTGTCAAAGTGGAGAAAGAAATTTCTCCTTCAGTAAAGTATGAGAACAGAAACTCTTTATCTTCTACTCAGCTGATGAAGCAGGAAATGGGGTCTTTACTGCATGAGACACATATTGCTGACATCATATTCCTCACACTTGGAGGTACGATAAAAGTCCCAGCAGTCAGCAGTCTAACTTCACGACAGTTCAACTACAAACCGCAACCAAATTTTACCACCTACCTCCAACTTTAACCAGTGCCTTCAAAACGAGGTTCTGCCTCATTGGGACCTCGCATTATCTACAACAGTTCTGTGAAAAAGAGTGCTATACTCACTAAAAAAAAAGTGCAACGTCGGTACTGTTTGTGTAACATTTGTACTGTTGGAGTCGGGATGGGCTCCATCTTGCTTCACACAACACTTTGTGGTCTTTTGTCATCACGCAGTGGAGGTCTGTGTGCGCACCAACAGCTGTCTGGCATTAATGTCAACACTCCAAACATTTGTGTTTGCATGTGGACAGTTTTATTTATTGTACTAAATTATTTGCGGTGCGAGAACATGGTTCCATACAGCCAGAGCCCACTCAGACCGAGAGAACCGATGACAAAAACACAGGGCTGGGCATTGATTTGGGTAATTTAACAATCGGCACGCTCCACCAGTTAGCCTAAGGCTAAAGTGGAATACAGCAGCTAGTTGTGCTCAAGCTCTTGTCTAATGACACTTGCCAATGCCAAAGTGGGATGAAAACCGTCTTAACAAACTCCAGAGGTGTTGAAAAGTAAATCGAAGTCTGTTAGTTTTTCGGCAAGTGGGTTGTAATAAAGTCATTTTACGAAAGCAAACATTATTAAAGTCAATTTATTTTAAGAACACAGGTCTATAAATGTGAAGAGGTCCAAAGTGGAACACTAAGTGTTCCTCTGTATTTGAAATGGTTTGCATCAAGTATCATGGGAACAGTATGAAAAAGAAGAAACATTACAAATGTCTTTTGGCCTCACTTCTGATGAAGCCACTTGTTTCTGTAAATCTTTTTCATGTTTTGTGTTTCATGTTTTGGATTACTCTGCTCTTCACAGTGGTGCAACACATCCCTCCATTGTGACATCTTTTCTTAAGAGATGCATGTTCAGTAAAACCTACTAACACTTAATTACACCAATATTTAAATCTACCAAATTTTTAATATTTAAAAACACCAATTTTGACAGTCTGCTCCATTGTGCTAAAAATGTCGATTTCCAACAGACACATTTGTTTTATGTAACAAAGTGAACAACTTGTTTTAAAATCACACATTTCAGACATGTGTATCTGTAGTTAAAAAACATGTTTTACTAAAATATGACATTTTCTTTTAACTCTCCAGTTTTAATTAATTAGGACCATGTAACTTTTCTCACATCTTTTCATGGTGTCTCCCCTCAGGGGTCAACCACAGCGAATCATATGCGTCATTATCACCCTCTCCCTAGTCACTTCTAACGTTGCATAAACCATATTCGTGTGAATTTTTGTTTTGTTTTGTTTTATTTACTACATCCATGGATTTTTGTTTTTCCTCCTTTTTCCTGGAGGCTCCAACAAGCGTGTCCTGTTTCTCTTCAACTAGAAGATCATTATATTTCAGTAAATATACTTTTTGGTTGGGAAATACTTCCATACATGTCTCATATTGCCACCTCCAGCTGCACACAACGGAAAGGTTTCTGTTTATCTGAAATGTTTTATTTTTTAAGTTATTATAATTCAGGATTAAGCACTGTATGGCACTAGCCCAAAATCCTCTCTCTGTAATCCTAGAAGTCAACTTTATTGAACAGTAGCAGTTTCAGCGTCATTAATAATGACCTAAAAACCTGATAAAGTGAGTGTGTCGCATTTTATTTTGACAACTCACACAAGTGTTTCATTAACATTTTGGCCCACAGTCTCGCAATAGTTAGATAGTTAAATTAATAAAATTAATAACGTCTTAAAAGAGCAGATTGAATGAAAAGCTGCTGCAGAGACACGGGTTAGATAAAATATAAACAAATCACTTTTCTACCTGGTCAAAACGCACCGTCTAATGGGAAACACTGCCACATCTGCTAGTGTTTCGGCCAATTTCATCTCCAGTGTCATCACGTATTAGTCATGCCAGCTAACTCTGGCAAATGAAGGGACACATGTGAAGGTCCATGCAGCTTTCATGTTTGTATGGCAGAGAGGAGCGAGCAGACACTCGCCTGTCATCTGTTTCTGTGCGCTCTGATTTTCCTCTTAAATAGAAGACAGGCAGGGACTCGTCTGTGGTGTTTTATAGAGTATGGAGAGGAAGTATAGAGTAGACAGGTACTTTTCGCCCCTGTAAAAATATTTAATTAGGTTATGCTACAAAACAATACGCACTCAGGCAGAAGATTTGCTTCAAAACAGTGTCTGCTACTGATTATAGAAAGAAAAGAATGAAGAAATCGGGGGAGTCAAGCTCAAGGTAAACTATATATTTTGTTTTTATTATTATTTGTTTGGAATTCTGTATTTATTGGGAGTATTCATAACTGCCATGAACAAAACGTGAAGAAATTACTTCTGTTTTTGCCTTTTCATCACAGATCCACAAAGCAAAAATTATAGGATTGACTACATTCTGGTTACGATGTAAAAACGTTCCACAAAGAATTTTGGTTTATGGTGGAATTTTGTTTGTAAAAGTAGTTGAAGAAAAAGAAATCCACATTTTAAAACTTAACACTGTGCAAACAAGTTACAAACAAACAACATATTATATTCATATTCAAAGGCATGCCTGATATCTGATGTAATCGGTTCCCATACAGTAAAGACAGGTTGATGGGTTTTTATTTTTTTGGGGTTTTTTTTAAGCTACACGTCACTAACAAATAACATGTGAATTAATCAGCAAAAGGGAGAGCAGAAATTAGTCTGGAGTGTGTGGGAGGAGTTTTTGGATCTCCAATTCTGTGTCATAAAAGGGTCCTCAGTCAGCTGCTGTCATCTAGATTTCACAGGCATGACTTAATGGGAACACAGATGGTGTCTGAAAATATGAGCTTTAATACAAGAACCTGTAACAAGAAGCAGATGTGCACGAACGGACTCCATAAACACGTGCACACACACCACCAAACTCCTGCTGATGAACAGATAGATCGCACCAACACCCTGCACCGCGTCTGGTTGTATAGAAGGCAACTGTATGTGATATTATAGCAGTCTATCGACACAGGCTTTGACTGAGTGAGGCCTTTCTGTCAGCAGCAGACGCTCACAAACACAATCTTATGTCACACACTGTACCTCACAGAGGGAGCCCGGCTCTCACAGCAGGCTGAGTTTACACTACGGTCTGAAGCCATTAGTGGATCATAAAAACACTTAGCTGAAATGTAAAGTTTCAGCAGGGATGTGAGCTTTTGTCGACTCAGAGGAAAAAGACCTGTCTAAAAGCCGAGGAAAACCGGGGCCCATTTCTTCAATACAGTATTTTATGTGTTTTACCTCCTTTGGCAGTGACTTCAGCACCGCGTTGAGGAAATGCTTTATAAGCAGAGCAGGGAAAATTATGATTGTGAATTTCCTATAGTGCCTTTCTGAAATTTTCAACTAGCTGACATGGTGCAAATCTACCACAGATCTCTAAAGCCTTGACTTCCTTCCCCACCTAAACAGTGCCTCAAAAGGACAGATGTAAAAATCGATTGTTGGATTTCAAAATAGTACAGGTTTAACACGTGCTGGGCACTACTACAATGGTATTTAAAGGTTGAACGACCATTGTCCCACCTTAAGACCATCTTGGATCCACATTTAATCGATGTCATACCTGCTGTCATGGGTAAACATTCAGGTATGGACAAATAAAGGGACAGTGCAAAAGGTTCATCTGCATCTTCTTTGTCCAGAAGCCACTTAAGTAACAAACACATTTGCAATTGAAATGACAACATGCAAAACAACTGTCAGCTGCTCAATGCAAACGGGGTAAGTGCTCTAGAGTGAAAAGCCAAGTTGAGTCATAATATTCCCACTGCCATAGGACACATGCTAGTCAGGATTAAAGTAGGTGGAACACGCATTTCCAAGGTCAGAGCCCAGATGCATCTTTACTGATTCACAGTCTTGGTTTTTCATCTGTCGTGCTGAAATCTACGTTCCCATAAGTCATACATTTTCATAAGATTAACTAAACCAGACAAGAATAAACAAATATAATTAAGAGCCAGAATCATTCAAATTAAGAAAATTACAGTGAAAACTGACTGAGATCAAATAAGTTCACGTCATCATTAATCAGAGCTCAGTGGAGAGTCAGTGACCTCAGAGTCAAATTGTTTCACCAGGGAAGACAAACGGTTACAGTATCCATCACAGAATAACTGCTGAGACCAGACTCTGGGTGTGTTATGGCAGGTCAGCTGTGAGACGTTAATGCCATTTTATACACTTTGTCCTTGTGTAGCCATTATTGTGTAATCCCACGTTCTTGTCAAGGTAACATAATTGTGTGTGTGTTTATGTGTTTGCCTGGCCGGGCGTATTGGTCAGTTTGTTAATGATGCTGTCATGTCAGGGAGTCTCCGCTCTCAGGAGAAAAGCCTGAGTCATGGGCTCATTGGCTGCCCTACTTTCACCAGGACTGAAAAGTGGATCACTGCACAACAGCACACACAAAAACTGCACGCAAGCACAAAAGCAGCAGCTCATATACTTATAGAGATGTGATTCAAAGACACAAGGACATCGCTCTGCAGATACAGTGAGCGTAGTCGAGTGCAAACACAGCTTCCAGAACATTCGGTAAAATGCAATAAAAAAACTAAAATGAACTCATGTGTAAATTGATAGCTGCAACAAACGCCGAGAAATCGATAGAGTCCATTTCTCCCCTCGGCCCATCGCCTTTTGTCTTTTTACTCTCAATTGTTGGAAAACTGAGGAAGCTAATGGTAGCAGTTTTGTCTTTTTATATATATATTTACCTATTGTTACTGCTGAAAAGATCTGATCTGCTCAGCAGTCTGTGCTCACCACTATCTGATTCTACCATCTATACAACACCACACATTATCAATGGTCCACAAAGCACTCGGAAGAAAATAAAAGCCTCAGCGATTGTAACTACATGGTACTGGTACATGGTACTGTCCATGAAAAGTAAAATGAGCTTCAGACTCTGTTGTTGGCAGTCAACAGAACTTAGCAGAAGCAGAACAGACATCAGTCTACATGTGGTCGACTAAAATACAACCAATAATGTCATGATGGTTATAATCCACAATCACCACCTACAGCCAACCCTGCAGACACAGACGTCTTAGCTCCTAAGTTCTGAAGTACACGTACATTAGGCAGCAGTTTCTGCCTCAGGCCTTCACTCACTGGCCTCGAACAGAAAAATCACATTCATATTTACAGTCAATAGTCACCTAAGTACTCCATGTGTTTTCTTACATATAAAGTAAATATAGTAAATATAAATATAAAGTAAATATAAATATATAGAGTAAATATCCAGTGAGTAACCACAGATCAGATTTGTATTCTTCGTATTTTTGGAAATGTAGCGGCTGGTCTGGAAACAGTTTTGTATTCTCCAGGAAAGACACATGAATATTCAGCTCAGACACAAACACGTCCAGTCTTTTCGACTAACACACTGAAGGATATGCAGTTCAGAAACAGTACATCATCACGCTGAAAACTCCTGGCTTCTATTTATTGTTTTTAATTTAACATTGTTTTATTGCTTTGTTTATGCACGTCCACACCCCCAAGGGGCCGATGAATAAATACAAACCTGATGAAAACATCTGAGCGAAAACAGATAATGGTGCATCTGTTCGACAGAGTGTTTTCAGCCCTCCAAATTAATTCTTAAACACAGCCTTTGTTTTTGGCTGCAGGAAATGAGATTCAACCACAATATTGAATTTGCTCCGAACTTTTAAGTCTTATGGTAACTCAAGATATTCAATACAGTAGCAGAATAAACTGTAACTTCTGACGGAGAACATACACACACAAAAATGGATTCCCTTGCATCTCTGGAGTGTTTGCGTACTTCTTTAGTCAAAGTTTTTTTTTTATATAGAGTACTAACCTCCAGACATCAAGGTTCATTCTTGACTCTCGACGTCCTTCGGAGTTTCTTCTTGTTCTCAAACATACACCGTTGATCCACAGTCTGTTGTCTGGTGTCCTGTTGGTTTGCCATTCCTTTTCAACCTGTCAATTTAATAATAACATTTAATCTAGACATCAAAAACAACACCACAGTTCTCTTCAACTGTAATATCACACAGCAGTGAAACAGAAAATACCTGAAAACTGTTAACATTGTTAAACTCTTGGGATAAAGAAGCCACTTGTAAAGAGCTTCATTTTGTCCATATTAAAATGACTAGCGTTACTATCTAACTAACTACTGCATGCATCCTGCAACGTTCTAATACACAGCTATATTCAAATGAAGACATCAGGGGAACACACTTCAACGAGCTGTCATCATAAAACTAAAATATTTAGAGCATTTGTAGGAAGCTTAGCCCGAGAGGCTCATTTCAGTTATTTATCATGTCTCTGTTGTGAAAGCGATGATGAAGACGCTGGTAACTAGAGGCCAGTATAACGGTGCTTTGTTCGTCAAATGATGTCTTGGTGGATTTGGAAAATCCCAGCACCATGAAAGTCCTCACCAAAGTTCCTTCTGCTAGAAAATGAATAGAACGAGGCTGATAGGACATCGGAATTTATGAGGAGGGAACGGTGTCTGGGAATATTACTGAGGGGAGGGATTCTTTTGTCATTGCAACTCCGTGATTTAAGAGTGAAACACTTGAACTTTCAACAGATTGAATAAATTCCGTGTCAGACCAATGGTTGGGCCTCTTAAAACAAACAGTGATGTGGTGGAGCCCAGCACACAACACACCTCTACGCGGAGTCATGGCCTAAAAACTGCAGATTTATAATAGACAGTAAATCTCGAACGCAACAGGATTTACAGAACATTCATGCACACGTGCACGTATCCTGCAATTCCAAACATAAATTATACAACAGCTGTGAGATGAGCAGACATTTCTTCACAAAGGCCTCAAAGCTTATATGAATACAGTGGAACCTCGGTGGTCGCCTCCATTTTCAAACAATTTGGTTCACATACAAAATTTTGAATAAGCAGTCATCCCCCAAACAATTCGGTTCACAAACAAAATTTTGAATAAGCAGTCATCCCGGGACCAGGACCAGGTTTATCCATTTTAATTGATTCATATGGAGATAATTGTTTCAGTTTTTGAAATTTTCGGTTCACGAACGGCCTTCAGGAACAAATTAAGTTTGAAAAAAATCACTCTACTCTTGCTAAGACTTTGTGGTTACTTCCCTTCACTCCATGTTGGATGGACAAAGACCAGCCTCATAAGAACCAGGTTTTGATCCTCATTAGAACAACATTCAGCATCAATGCCAGAAACTCCCCTAAATAGGCAACAAAAATTGGTCCACACACACACAGGTGGCATTGATAATGAGACGCTCTCAATTTTGGATCAGGTAGGTGCGCCTTAGGTGATGTGATGGGATGGAAAAAATTAGCGGAGAATCATCGGGACAAAAAAAGCCAGCGATGAATCATCAAAGATATGCAATTAATTAAAAAGGCAGATGCATCTTCACTTGTTCGAAGATCACTTGGTTAGCAGGCCATCCAAGGTAGCTCCAGGTAATTACCTAGGAAAAAGAAGGACGGTGAATATGGACAGATGGTTATACAGGACATGACGTGATGTTCACCCAGGTCCAAAGTCTCGTCTCAGTAGAGCAACAGAAAAAAAGGAAAAGGAATGTAAGATTAAAAGTAAAGGTGGAGGAAAAAAGGTGAAATTAAACAGAGTCAACATGAAACAACACAGCAACTCCAGCACAGCAACATCAAATAACAGACACACTGCACTGATTTCTGTGAGCATTTGTTTGTTCATGACTAGCGTCGCTGACAAAGCAAGTCAACGGTCCTCGTCTGAGAACTCGGCCTCTGGAAACCATAACATCACATATGCTTCTTTTCAAGCTAAAATAAAAGGAGCGGCATACACTGCATAAATAAGAGCAAATCAGACGAGAGGACAGTCATCGTCTAGGCAAGTGGGTGAAAAGGTCAGGGACGAAAAAGTCAGTGGTGAGAACTGAAAGGTTGGTGAAGATGAGGCGAATAGTGCATAGGGACGGACGAGCAGGAAGAGATAGAGAGGGGAAATGGGGAACGGAGGAACATCTGTTTTGTGTCAGACTCAGGTTATAGGCTGATAGTGGAGTCTGGAGAGAGAATGAATGAGATGGAATAGGAAGAGGCAATCAGAGCGGAGGGGGGTGAGGCAGACTGGGGAGGAAGGAGAGTGTGAGGAGAGTGGAAAACATTAGAGATAAAAGTGGCTAATTAGAAATGACAGACATTACCATATACCTTAGAACTGTGAGGCCATCGCTCGCTCTCTCTCTCTCTCTAGTTCTTTCTATAACTCCCCATGTGTATTAATGGGATATACAGTAAACCCTTGTTTTTCGCGGGGGTTACGTTCCAAAAAGAACCCGTGATAGGCAAAATCCGTGAAGTAGAAATCTTTTTTTTTTTTACAATTAAATACTCAGAAAAAGAAGAGAAAGAACGAACAAACCATTTTACAGTCTCAACCATTTGTTTCACAAACGAACGGAAGATTCATTAATTCCATAATGCCGACCTACAGCCGCGTAGCTTTTACCTTCATTTAGCATGTCCAATAGTTTTACTTTATCACCGATAGACAGCATCTTCCGCTGCCTTTTGGTCCCTACCGCAGGTACTTTTGCCGGTCCAGAGCGTTTTATCGACATTATGGGGTTTGATAAACTCGAAATTGCAAGAGAATTTGCACGTACGTAATGTCAATTTGGCAAGCTGTTTTACGTACGTGTACATATTAAACCGCAACGTTATTGGCGCACAGAAAAGAAGCGGAGTGACTTTTTAGCCAATCAGAATGCAGAAACCGTGAAAAGTAAACCGCGTTATAGCAAGGGATCACTGTAGTGGATACTGCTATGTGTCATGAGCACAGACATTATTTCTACTTCTGCTGGACTGTTTCTGGTGCAAAACACAAAATAAGAACAAATAGATACAACCCCTCTAACCTGATTGTTATGTCTGGCAAACAAAACAATTTCCCAAAACAGAAATTGACACACAGAAGCAGAAAGAAAGTAAAATCTGTGTTCTGGTAAAGTGCTAGAAAATACCAAACAGGGCTCAGACTTAATGTGGCTGCCAGAACAAAGTTAAAATCTTTGAGCATAAATACCAAAGCATTAATGACTTTTGAACAAATTGCAGATTCCCAATGTAAACTACAAGGTTACCACGGTCAATTAACATTGGCCCAAAATACGTTGGTACAGACAACGCTCAACACAATTAAAACGCACATTTTCTCTGGATCACATCCATTACGCTTTTGATTGTACTCTCTTATCCTTAGATAACAGAGAATACCAATTACTGCACTTGGCTATGCTTCCTATAAAGGCTACGTCTTACATTTAACAGAGCATTAGGACAGTAGAGTCTCTTTTCTTGATGAACTAGACCTGGTTGGAAGAAGTCAATCAAGTGAAGCACCACTTATCGATGAAGACGGGTTTATGTCATTTGAACAAACTGAGTGAGTGCTGTCCTGCTGATGATCCATTGAGGTCCTTAACAGAGTTGTTCACGTTGGGCAGTGGTGGCTTGGTGGTTAAGGAAGCAGACCTGAAGACTCGCAGGTTGAGATGACGGGAATTTTTATGAAAATTGTTTTTATAAAAATATGTCTGAATTAAATAGGACATAAGCAACTGGACTGTCTCAGATGCTCATCCACCAGGTGTCTCTAGAACGTTCCTCAAGGAACCAAGACCGTTCAGATGACTACAATGGAAGAGCTTTGGATAAAATGACCTGGATGACTGAGAACCAACAGTGTTATCTGGTGTGTAAGTGGTTTCCGTTAGAGGAATCAAATTGTGAGGCTTTAATTCAGGATTGCTGTGACCTTAAAAAACTGATGAAAAGAAACGTAACAGAACTATTGACAAGTTCATTAATAAAATGACAAAACCTGTCAGAGCTGACGAAGAAGCCTGAATCAAGTCTTGGGATTTAAATTCTGACCTTTCGAAATTATTACATCTGTCTTAGAACCTTTTGACTGCACTAATCTCCTCTCTCTCTTTCCCAATGTCTCTCTCTTCCCTCCCTGCTCTCTCTTCCTCTGTGTGTGCTCTCATGTGTAGATAAAGAGAAGATAACCGAAGCTGATAAGAAAAAGACTAAGGGTGAAACAGTTAACAATATTTATGGGAAGGAGAAACCATAAAGAAGAGAACAAAGATGAAAGAGGGAGCCTGAATTGGGAGCCATAAAGAACAGCATGACACACACAGGCAGAGTATCAGGAACCTCCAACGACCCAGGGAGGCTCGTACCACAGACTGTGTACCACAGAATTCTCTGCTTCTGTCATTTGTACGTTCAACACACAAAGACAAACAGAGCAGACTGCGGCGTCAGAAAACAAAAGACAAATCCAAAACCCATCAGAGGCTGTCTGACAGAGGGAGTGAAAAAGTGATTTAGAAAACACAGGTAGGAGTTAAGGGCTCTATGTTTCAGTTTACTCCAAGAACACTTCTCAGAGAGCTGTTCTTTTTTATCAGCACTGCTGTCTGCGCAGATCCCTGCTGCTACCACGGGAAAATCTCTTATTCCATTACACCTGAATTAACCCTAATAAGATTTGATAAAAATGCAACTCAACCCTCATTTTTCATTAGCTAACAAAAGCACGGAGGTGTTGCTGTGAATATTGGTTCCTAAAAATACAATAAAAGCTGAGAGACTCTTTCAAAAGCCCAGACGCAGTAATTATGTTCCTCTCCTATGAGAGACAAGTAAGGGGGTCGACTTAATGTAATCTCACTTTTTCGGTGGGAGCTCTGGTGTAGGACTGAACAAAAGTGGAGAGAAAATGAAAAAGTAAAAAATAGAAATTCAACAAAGCAGCAGTAATTTCAGTGTCAGCAAACGCGTAAAAAATAGAAATTCAACAAAGCAGCTGGAAAGACGTGGTAATTTCAGTGTCAGCAAACGTAGCAGCTACTTACAATGGTATTGCCTGATACACTGTACGTTTGTATTACTG